ACTTGGACTGCTTCAAAAAAATGGGGGTGCATATAAAATGTGGTTTTAGTATGGGTTTCATTTACTGTTTTTAGCTTTTAAATATTGTAGTTTTAGTTATGTAAGCTGCCTCGGGCCCTTTTAAGGTGAAAGGCGTGGGATAAAAACATTTTTAAAAATTAGCATTTTAATCAATTAATTGGTAGCTGCTACTCAGACTGGCTCTGCCTTCACTCCAGGACCAAAGTCACGGAGCCTCTATAGACCAGTGCTTACTGGGGCTCATTGGTCCCAGTCTGGGCCCAGCCTGAGTCCCTGCGGGACGAGTGTGTTTCCCTCACCCCTTCCAAGGTCTCCCGTGCAGAATCATGCAAAATGCCTGGTGCAGGGGAAGGGGGATCAGGGGACGGGTGTCTTGTGGGCTCCTAGAGGCATCCAGTGGGGCCACAGGGAGATACAGGGACCTGGACTAGAGGGGGCCCTTGGCCTGATCCAACGACACCCTTCCGAGGTTCTTATGTTCTAATTGTTTGGTGGAGAACACTGGTAATGCCTGAACTGGTCTTAACACCATGAGGCTGTGGTTGCCAGCTGTTCCGCTGGCTGGTGCCTTCTCGGTGAGTGTAGTGCTGAAAGCAAGACCTAATGGGATAGCTTGGATAAAGAGCATGTCCTGAATCTTGCCCCCCCCGTCCCCCACCCTGAGGAGCCAGACCTCTTGTCTCTGGGTCTTGTGCTTTTTTGAAGAAGAGGTCGCCATGTTAGTCTGTGTAGGTGTTACAGGCAAGAATAGAATAAAAACGAAAATAAAAGAACAAATAGGAAAAAGACAGAAAATGTCTTTGCATAGCTGTTTTTTTTAATGTGAGCTTTTGTGGATAAAATCCAGTTCCTCAGAGAGAGAGAGAGAGAGAGAGCTAACATGGCAAATATTTATACATACATGGCATCAAAATACAGAGATTGTGGTAGGTTGTTAAGAAAGTCAAAGGGGTATTTAACAGTGGGATGATAGTTTGTTTGATAATCAGAGCTATTCCATTGAAGCTTCTGCAGTAAAGAGCACAAGAACCTATGTCAAAGAGTAACAAACAGAAATAACATGAATGTTCACTGTTCTAAGAAACTGCCTTTTTACTTTTGTTAATGATCTTTTAAGACCCTGTTCCTTTATAGGAGGTTTTGTAGTGAGTCACACTCCTGGGTGAATTACCTTAGGCCACTGGTTCTTAACCTTTGTTACTCAGATATTTTTGGACTGCAACTCCCAGAATCCTTCACCATCAGCTCTGCTGGCTGAGGTTTCTGGGAGTTGCAGTTCAAAAACACCTGAGTAACAAAGGTTAAGAACCACTGCAGGCTTAGGCAATAGATGAACACAAGAACCACATGGTAATGTGAAGGCTCTCTGGTTACCTTTGAAGCTTTTAAAGCTGGATCTTTTAAGGAACAAAATATATATGAGAGATAAGGTACAGTACAGTTATTGCAGTGTTTATATCTAGTAGTGCCCTAAGAAGCCTTTACTTACGTCGAGTCTATCGCAATGGGTGTCTAAGCATGTCTACGTATATATTTTATCTTAGCTGTTTCTTTCTGGGTTCTTGTCTTGTAATTTTTTTTCAGAATGTCTACTTTTAGGTCTTGTACAGAGTGCCGTGGTACTGTAAATTAAAACGACATGGAACAGATTTCCGTGTTTTGCCATTCCTGATGTTTGATTGGGGTCCATTAATTCTTCTGCGTAGAGATTTGTCATGTGTAGACTACAGTGGACCCTTGACTTACAGATGGCTTGACTTACAGACTTTTTGAGTTACAGACTTCTCTGGCCGCAAAATTTAGGTTTGACTTGCAGCCTGAGAATTGACTTACAGACCAGAAAAAAACCAAAATGGAACAAAGCCAGCCTGTTACGGGATTAATCGGTTTTCAATGCACTGTAGGTCAATGGAGACTTGACCTACAGACTTTTTGACTTGAGAACCGCCTTCCGATACGGATTAAGTTCTCAAGTCAAGACCCCACTGTACAGATGAATACAGTATTGTTGTCAAAAGATGGCATAAATAGCATTGGTAAGTAAAAAATAAAAGTACCTTTGATGTTGTGTGTGACTTTGTTGGGTCCTATAATCATGTCGCTAGAATAAATGTGCCTGGGCAGAGCCAGCATTTGTATTTGTAGCAGGGTTTAGTCCCATCTCTGTCGTGTGCGTTGTTGGTCAGTAGTGATTTGAGTTTTGGGGGGGGGGTTGCCTGTAAGCAAGTAAAGGTCTGCCAACAAGGGCTTGGGAGAGTGAAGTGTTCTTGTCAAGAATGGTTTGGAGATCGCTTATGCATGTGAGTGATTTCAGTTGTGGACTGAGACTAGTGATGTTTGGTCATTTTCTTTTCTGGGTCTGTCCTCCAGTCAGTTACTTATGGGTATCCATCTTGCTTTGCTTATATATTCCTTAATCATATTGGGTGGATATTGTAGTCCAAGGAATGCATTTTGTTGATCCTTGATTTTGGAGCTCTTATCTTGTGAGTCCGAGCAGATGTGATTGTATCTGAGAGCTTGACTGCAAACTATGGATTTTGTAGTGTGTTTGGGGCATGCAAGCAGGTGTATCAGTTTGTGGGTTTTCGGTACAGCGTGATGTTAAGCTTTCCATGTTTGTTTTACAGTAGTGTCTGGAAATGCAACTGTTGTGTAGATTGTTCAAGGATGATTTGATGTTTGGATGAAAGTTTTTGAAATCCTGGTGGAATTCTCTGTGGATTTCTTTTCATGGGTTCAGATCAGGAAAATGTCATCAATGAACCTCAAATTGAGAAGTGATTTTTGGTTGCAACAGTTAAGAAAATGTTGTTCAAGGTCAACCATGAATATGTTTGCTAACCACCACCGCCTTTGAACTGTCATGGGCACTCGTAGTTCTGTTGTCTGGAAGTAGGTTTTATGGTCAAACTTGAAATAATTCTTTGCGAGTACAGAAGCACAGAATGTGGCGATTTTGTGTGCTGCTTCTTTGTTTTGAATGGTGTTTATGGTAGGCTGTAGTCTCCCTCTGTGTGGAATGCTTCTGCGTCCATTGTAGGAGGATGATGTTATCCTGGATGTTGCGTGTTGACTGAAGTTTCCTTAGAAAGTCTGTGGCATCATCTCCTGTGTACTGTAGCTTGGTTCATTGGTGGCCTATGGTTTCGGGGTGGAGACTCAAGTATTCACATACCCCAACCGTTACGGCATTGATGCATGATGACTACCGAGCGTTGCCTCTACCATCTCCGGAGTCCTCTCGGCCCCCAAGGAGAAGGGCAGCCACCTGAGGCAGCTCAGCTCCCCTGCTGGGCCAAGGCACGGAAGAGGTCCTGCTATGGACCTCGCATTTGGAATAAGGGCTTTTGACTGGACTTTTAGGGAGAAGAGAAAGCAGGGGGGGGGGGGGTCCTCTGCATTGGTAGAGGCTAGAGTAGGTGACCTCCTGGGGTTCCTTCTAACACCACAGTGCTGTAGGTAGCCGAGCCTATGGAGTGGCTGAAGCAGCAGCCCCAGGTGAAAATGGCAGCATTGGTAGATTATATAACAATATACACAACTATATGTTGCTTTGACTTATCCATATTGTCAGGTATCATACTCAATAAAAACAATTCTGGGGTTAATGGCACATTATAGAGCAATACTTGTTGTAACATAACATGTACTCTTTTCCAGTATTTTTTCGCTATTGCACATGACCACCACATATGATAATAACTTCCCACTTGTGTTTCACATTTCCAACACTTATTTGGTACATCTGTATACATCTTTGACAGTTTTTCTGGGGTCATATGCCACCAGTGGGCTGCCCTCTGTCCGTGCAGAGAGGTGGCCTCGTCTGCCTTCTTTTGTGGGCCCAGCAGGTCACAGGAGGGGTCAGCTCCTGGCCCTGAAGAACTGAGCGCCCAGAGTCCCCGTGGGCTTTTGTGGGGCAGGCCGGAAAGCTGGCTTGCAGGGCATGTTGGGCAGCTGTGGAGCCGAGGAAGGGGCTGGCCGAGGAAGAGGGCAGACGGGCAGGGCTGCCTCCCCACACTCCCTTCCAGCCCAGGGATTCCTTGGCTGGGTTCGAAAAGAGGCCAGAAGGGGTGGACCCACACCTGGCCTTTCCACGGAGGCTTAATCCTCTCGTGGAACTTCTTTTGAGGCCCTGGCGAGGTTGTTCCAAAGTGTAACCGTGCCTGCCTTCCTGCAGTCTCTCTCTCTCTCTCTCTTTGGGGGAAGCTAGAAAAACAGCCCACGGCAATTTTTCTCTTTTGGGTAAGGCCTGCTTTTTACTCACTCAGCATGGCCAGAAACAGCATAAAGATGTGGTATGTAAGACCACAGGCTGCAGTATAAGACAAGGATGGGGCCTGTGCATGCTGTAAACATGTGCCGCGTTCAAAGGTAAGATCTGCTTCCTTGTCTAGGGTTGCTACCCCCTTCATGTGGGGAGCACACACAGGGTTAGGGGGCGGCTTTCATTGCTTCTGAACTGCAGTGCAAAGGGTGACACAGTTTGCAGCTTTCTCTTTAGTAGTGATATTTTCACATTTCTTCTTCAGTGAAACTAACAATTTAAATTTTTTCTAATGTAAATTTTTTTCTAATGTAAATATGCTACATAATATGGTTTCATATGGCAGCTATGTGGTGACATGTTTCATGTTAAAAGCTGTGATAAGGTTTGATTTATTTCAGTTCTCTCCTAAATGTCTCCCCACCAAAGTTGTCTTCAAGATTTCCAGAAATATTGCATTTGTAGAGAAGGCCAGTTTTGTGGCACCTCCCACAAAACAACACAGTTTCTCGTCTCTTGACAGGTATGAGAAACGGTGGGTCCCTCTCGTTTATCTTTTACATCTTACAGAGGATTTCAAAGTGGCTCTTTTTGCTGTGGTGGAGCCGGAGTGGCCTTCAGCCTTCCTTAGGGGTCCTGCCTGGGTTCCCTCGGCTTTCTGTGCTTCCTCGGGGTTCCTCCTCCTGGAGCTTTCCCAACTTGACGCCACTTCTTCTGCCAGAGGAGCCCAGAACCAAGCCCGGCGCTGGCTGCCACTCGGCCGAGAAATGGGCTTTGGTTCCTCTGTGAGCCTCAGCGAAAGAGCGCCTCTCCTGCTTGCAGGGGCTTGGACTTTATTTTGTACTGATATAATTGCTTCGTCACTCTTTAGGGCCAAAGAGATGCCACCCTTTTCTTTCCACATCCTGGCCTCAACACGGCAGTCAGGTGAACCCCTGGAAGCTTCACATGGGGACCACCCAGTGGCTCCAGTTCTTGTCTCCTGCGGCAGAGGTCGCCAATCCCCGGTCCGTGGCCCGGTGCCAGTCTGTGGCCTGAGCTGGACCAGGCCACGAAGACAGACCTCCTGCCCCGCTGCACGCACTCCCCTCCCCACAGCTGCTTTGCGCACGTGCCAGCACCGGCATGAGTGCCCCCCACCCCTTCACGCATGTGCCTGAGTGGCCAAGTACCTGCGCGAAGGGGTGGGTGGGCGCGCAGGTGGAGGTGTAGGCACCCCTGTGCATGCGTGAAGGAGTGTGGGAGCGTGCACGCTGGTGGTGGTGGGTGGGCACCCCTTCACACCTGCACACCTGCACTAATGGGTGAGCGTGCATGCGTGCAGGCGCCCCTGTGTATGCGCAAAGGGGTGGGGGAGCACTCATGCCCCAGCACTCATGACCGGCTCCCCCACTGGTTTGCGCATGTACCTGAGAGAGAGAGCGCACCTGCGGGGCGGCTCCCTGCCTTCCTCAGAAGCTCAGCTAGTCCGCAGTCCAAAAACGGTTGGGGACCGCTGTCCTGTGGTACCCTGTTTCAGTGCTTCCACCATAGAGCACCATTCTTTCTTCCCTGTGATTTTTAAAAATGTTAATCCTTGGAACTGTTGAAGCCCCACCCTGTTTGGGGTCTGTCCAGCTTTCACACTTGTACATGGCAATCAGGGAGGGGGGAAGCAAGAGTGTGGGTAATCTTGCTCTTGGTCTCCAGTGACCCATCTGTACACTTTTCTAATTCCTTCATTGCTGTCCTTCCAAATCTCATAGAATAGTTATTCCCAATCTGGGCTAGATGTACCCCTAGAGGTGCAAACGAGGACGTTTAGGAGTATGAAAAAAATAATAATAATTGAATAATGGAGGGAAAGGGCACATACGTAGGACAAGATGCAAGTCAAAATTTGTGTAGTTGATTGGATAGTACGGTGAGTGGCAGAGCAGGCTTTCTTCATTATTTAACCTCAAGAAGAGCCACTTGGTTATTTTGGTGAATGGAGGAGGGTCCCTCCCTAAACAGTGGCAGCGCACCCCTTACGGACTCAGCTTTCACTCTCCTCCACTTCAAAAGCATTTGACTGCTGTCGCAACAGTACCGGTGTATATGTTAGCGGGTACCTCAGTCAGTCCTGTGAGCAGTGTTTAGGGAGTGACTTCTGGGCCGTCTCCATTGTATTTACTTGAATTCCTTGTACCTTTTGAGTTTTGAATGTCAGTATACATACATGGTCTGTTCACCTTATTATTCCATTGCTTTTTAATCCCATTATTGGGCTATTTGCTTACAGTTACAACAAATAAATTTGAAATAATGACAGCCATACAAATTGCAAACATTTTGCTAAAATGCAGGCTACAGTATATGGATATGGGCTGCCGAGGACTATGCAAGTGAAAAAAGGCTGTGAATCACTGGCTTAGAACTATAGAATAATTGAGTTGGAAGGGGCTTAAAAGGTAATTGAGTCCAATCCCTTGCTCAATGCAGGAATCCAAATCAAAGTAGATCTGATAGATGGATGTCCAGTTTTCTCTTGAATGTCTCCAGTGTTGGAATGTTCACCACCTCCCAAAGTCATTGATTCCGTTCTTGTACTGCTGTAACAGCCAGGACGTTTCCCCTGATAGTCAATTGAAATATGACTTCCTGTAGCCTGAGCTTTTTCTTAAATGTTGTACACTCTGGATGAGTACTCTATTCGAAAGTACTCTATTCGAAAGTGCTATCCTATCTCCCCCACAGTCTTCTTCTCTCAAGGCAAAACACACCCAGTTCTTCTAGTCTTTCCTCCTAGGGCTTCAAGCTCATCTAGGGTACCATGTCCAGGACGTGATGAAGCCTGTCAAGATCTTTTTGAAATTTGCTCCTGTCTTCCAAGGTGTTAGTTATTCCACCCAATTGTGTGATCTGCAAATTTGGTCAAGTAGTCCCTGAACTCCTTCATCCAAGTTGTTAATAAAATTGATAGTTGTGGGTTTTGCGGGTTCTTTGGCCGTGTTTTTAAGGTTTTTCTTCCTAATGCTTCGCCAGTCTCTGTGCCTGAAAAGAAGCACAAGGGGTTGCCCGTGGCAAAGGATGGGCACCTCGGCCGTATTTCCCTCCCTGGTGTTTTTCCCACAGAGAAGCTTCCAGAGCCACTGCGCTCTTGACTGCAAGAGAGAGGACTTCTCTTCCTTGCTGGGCCCCACCCCAGAGATTAGAGGACTGTCCAAATTTGGAGAGGGAGGCAGGACTCACACTGGCCTGTTCACGGCCCAGCCTCAGCTCTGCAGCCTTCTCTGCTGCAAGATCAGCTGTGCTCCCCAGGCTGGTGGGAAGGGAGCAAGGGCGGCCTGCAAGCGCCCCCCCCCCACGGGTGCCTCCTGCTGGCCCCGCTCTTCTTGCCACGTCAGGGAGCCGACTGGCCGGGCCAGCTTTCACCTCTGGCGCCTCTGTGTGCTGAAAGAGACGATAAAGGGCTCCTTCCTTTCTGGGCGGTCCTTGCGCTCTTCCGAGTTGTGATCCATGGCGAGGGGAAGCTAAGGCTGTGTGTGTCAGCCTCGAGAGGTCCAGCCCCCTCTGCCCGTTCTGGCAGCTCCCTCGGTGGGCAGCTGGGCTGGCTTCTCTCCAGCCATGTGGTCAGGGTCCAGCGAGCCAGGCGCGCCCAGGGAGGCACCTGGGCAGGGTCGTCCCCTGAGTCGGAAAGCCGCCCTGGCAGGCCTTCCGTGATTAAGGACCAGCTGCTATCATCAAGCCCAAGCTGCTTCTTTCTCCACCTCCACCCCAGCCGCCATGGCCTTCCTCTGTGCACACCTCACCGGCTGGGCCAGTGCGGGCAGCGTGGAGAGGCGTGCCTGCTTCCCTCACCTCTGAGGAGACATTCCTCTGCGGAACTCCCCTGCGGCCTTTGGCACCTGCGTCGCCACCACACCCACGAGGCAGCTGCTTCTCTCTCTGTGGGAAGGCAGACGCACGTCATGAAGGGGCCCCCACCCGCGCACAGCCTGAAAGGCTGGCTAGACCACTGGGACAGGCGTGCATGCGTCCGTCTGTCCGTGCATGTGTACAAACAGCCCCGGGCACCGAGCACCTTGCGTTCAGAGAACAAGAGCAAGCCGGGACTCCCAGCAAAGCCCCCCCCCCCGGCAGTCCCACCTTGTTGGTCCTCCTCGGCTGAGAGCAGAGGCAGCAGCCCTCGTTGGAGACCTCCAGGTCTCTCTGGGGTAGCCACCCAGTGTCTCCCTCACCCCCGCTTCTTCTTCTTTTTACTTTTTTGGCTTTTCCCATTCCTGGTGAGAGAGCCCTGCAGGTGTCCCCCCCCCCCTCAGATGCATCTCTGTCCTGCCCTTCAGTTCTCTTGAGACCCCCACCCTGCCTTGCTCCCACCACGGCTGGCCCTGGGAGGTCTTCCACCCCCTCAGGACCCACACACTTTTCCCTTCTTTAAAGTCGCCAGAGACTTTTCCTCTGCCTGGGGTGCCCCCCCTCCCCTGTGAACGTGTGGGCCTCTTCCTTGCACCTTCCTCTGGAAGCCCCTGCCTCTGACGTCTCGGGCTCTCTGGCCCTCCCTGCTTCCGGCCGTCTATCAGAAAGCCATCTTGGTAGCCAAAGCCCACTTTTGCCCTCTGGCCAGGGAGGAAGCCATGCTCATGTGTTTCCCTTGGATATGGGGCTGCTGTGGAAAGGGGTCTGGAGACGTGCAGCCCTCCCTGTTTTGCTGATTCTGTTCTCAGGGGGCCCCAGAGGTGGTGATCAAACGCACGAGACCTCTCGCAGGTACGCCACAGGTCTCTGAGTGCAGCTTTTTTGGTTGCACGGCGTGGGCCCCTCCGTGTTGCCCAGTGGAGTCTCCCCCATCCATTGATAATAACCTTTGAACTGCAGAGCCGGAATGGACCCCTATGGGACATCGAGTCCAGCCCCTCTCAAGGAGGCTCAGTGGGGGAATTGAACTCCCACCCTCTGGCTTTGCTGCCAGAGACCTAAGCCATTGAGCTGGGCCCTAGAAACTCTTCCCCTCTTCTCCAACCGGAGACCTAGAGAGGGCCTTATTGCCCCTCCCTCCTAACCCTGGAAGGACCCATCAGGCGTGACCTGAAGAAGCTGGCTGCAACATCCATGGCATGGGACTTTGAGATGGATTGGGGACGTTGGCAGCTCCTGCAACGATAGACCCGCCTCGTGACGGCCACTTGCCTCAATCTGTCTCTCGTGCTATGTCCATTATAATTTTTAATTGTGCCTTTGTCTTATTGGTCAGTTGTTTCAGTTGAACTGGGTGCCCTCTAAAGAAAGCTATTGTGCAACACTCCAGTGGAAGGGAAATGGGTGCAGCTGTAAAGTCAGCAGGACGGTTTTAGTTTTTTAATGGGAGATAATGAGAATGGGAGCTCTCCGTAGTGGGTATGGCAACGGAAGGAGGAGGAGGCTCAGGCCCCGTCTTCCCTTCTTTCCTACGTCTTCTGCATCCTGTATAGTTGCATGTTGTGGTCATGGGGTACATATCCTGTGATAGGGGTTCATACATCTTTTAAATTGTTCCACTTTTGGTTGTTGTGGGTTTTTCAGGCTCTTTGGCTCTTTGTTCTGAAGGTTCTTCTTCCTAACGTTTCGCCAGCCTCTGTGGCCATGGGCATCTTTAGAGGACAGCACTCTGTGCTCCACTTTTCTTGGGTGAATTAGATTTGGTACGTTCATCTACGCCTCTTGAGTAGAACATATCCCCTTCCTTTTCTTGTATCTTTCTTTCTACCCCTTCCTTTTTTTAATTGTGTGGGTACATCGCTGTGTTGGCAAAATGCCCTTGCTGGACATGTACCGATCTGGGCACTTTCTTGCCATTTCTGTGTTTCGTTACCCTCTATGGAGCAGAACCCACACTGCACACTGTAGTGGGGGTCAAAAGACAGTAGGGGGATTAATGCTCCATATTTGACAGAAGTATACCAACACACTGACATTCTTGTTTACAAATTAAATTAAAAAAATTGCAGGAGTCAAACAACAGCAGGTGAGGAAGGTGAGACTGCATGCCAGATGCACAGGAAACAAATCGGTTTTTGAGTACACACTCAGTGGGATGTCAGTTGTACCATGCAGTAAAAGACAGTAGGGGGATTAATGCTCCATATTTGACAGAAGTATACCAACACACTGACATTCTTGTTTACAAATTAAATTAAAAAAATTGCAGGAGTCAAACAACAGCAGGTGAGGAAGGTGAGACTGCATGCCAGATGCACAGGAAACAAATCGGTTTTGGAGTACACACACAGTGGGATGTCAGTAGTACCATGCAGTGAAATATGGAACACGCATAGTAGAAGCCTTTCAAGCAGGCTGGATTTGATGTGAAGTTGGCATGGAGGGGGAACAAAAGAATTGATAACGGATTTGTGCCATCTGAATCAAAAAAAAAAGGTCTAAATTCACACGGAAACATTTTGCAGATTTGGAAACATTTTGCTGGCGTGACTGCAGCCTGGGTTTGCCAAGTGTTGGTGCAGGTAATTGGGGGGGGGATGGAGGAGCAAGGCTGGGGCAGATTGTAAAGGTCCTCTTCCTAGAAGGTAACATGGCTCTCTTCCTGCATTGTCCCCCCACAGTGCCCTCCGCTACCATGGCTCGTCGGTCCCAGAGCTCATCGCAGGGTGACAACCCACTGGATCCGAACTACCTCCCTCCCCACTACAAGGAGTATTACCGCCTGGCCCTGGATGCGCTAGCCGAGGAGGGTGAAGAGAGCTACCACCGCTTCCTGTCTGAAGAGGGAGCGCCCGACTTCCTCTGCCCTGCGGAGGTTCAGCACATCACACAGCATCTCCAGAAACCTCAGTATGCCAGCCAGGAGGGTGGCAGTGGCGGGGGTGAGGGCGGGGGCAGCACAGACTCCGGGCCCCACGATACAGAGATGGAGGGCTCCTCAGGAACTTATTGGCCCATGAACTCCGACCTTGCCGTCCCAGAACTGGACCTGGGCTGGCCAATGGTCTTTGGGTTTCGAGGGACAGAGGTGACGACGCTGGTGCAGCCCCCGCCCCCGGACAACCCTAGCATTAAGGAGGAGGCCCGTCGGATGATCCGTGCTGCACAGCAGGTGAGCAAGTGGAAGAAGGGGCTTGTAAAAAGCAACAAGAGGGAAGGAGGGAGGACGTACCTAGCCACCGCTGGCTTTGGCAACTCTGGGCGCACTCTCCTTGCCAGCGGAAAGGCCGACCTTGGGCTTGCAGGGACTATAGCACGATTGGCCATCCCTCTGCGCTTCCCAGTTCTCTCTGAGTTTATCTGCAATTGTCAGGAACGGTGTGTCCTTGTAAACTATTCCTGTTGCAATACAAAACATTTGAAGGAAGGGTGATGAGAGGTGTTAGTCCTAGAATCATGGAGTTGGAAGTGACCTATAAGGCCATCATGCTGAACCTCCCGCTCAGTGCAGGAAACCAAAGGACCCACTGCACTTTTGTTGATGTGGACCACTCCAATCCAGTGGCCTCCATTTTCCCAATCTCCTACTGGGGGTGGGGGTCTGGTCGTGGGGATTGGCGTGATGAGCCTTTACGCTTCCGGATTCATCATTACACCACCGTGTGTTCCTGGAAACTTCTGAGACTCTCTCAGCTTGTCTTCCCCTGAGCGAGGGAGGGAGGGAGCTCCTGGCTGAGACCCTCAGCCTGCCATTCCTCTTCTGTAAGTTGTGGAGGTGGCAGGAGGGGCTTCCGCCTTTGACCTCTGAGCCGTCCCAGCGAATGCAAGGCCTCTAGCGTGCCCCAGCTCCATCCCCATAGGATGTTGCACCTTGTCCTTCAATGCCAGGAGTGACCAGGCCAGGGGTCCCCTTGTGCCTCTGCAGACACACACACACACACACACACCGGTACTTGGAAGTAGCAGGGCCTGTGTGGCCACACCATGGGACTTCTGCTTCGCAATGAGTGAGAAATGCCACAAGAGAGGCACCTTTTAAATTTAATTTTGAGAAGGTTTCATTGCATTTTGACAGAGAGCCTGTCAGAACCATGGGGATCATTTGACTGGAAGAAGAGAAAATGAAAACTTCTGTTCCATTTCCCCTCTTTTATTGAGCCACAAGCTATAGCTATTTGAACTTAAAAGGACTGCAGAAGAATAAAGGTGCGCCCATCACTCATCCATCCCCCACTTGACAGACTTTCCATTGCTTTCTAAAAGGGAGCTAACAGGGTCTAGCTCAACCACCCACTCTTTAAGAAATGCATTTAGCAGCTCAGGTCCAACCCGGGGGGGGGAGGAGGGGAGAGGCTGAGGCCACCCTCTTCCATGGCAGTTCTGCCAACTACTGCTCAAGTTCCTCCCCCCCAGTTCTCTCTCCTTGCCTTGCCAGCGAGCAGAAGAGCCGAGGCTGCCTTCCCCTCCTCCAGGGCTGCAGCGGGCACCAGGGAAAGGGTGCCTGCTGCGGACCGAAATGGAAGTGGCGCCATTACTGATGGTGACAGCAGTAGTAGCAGCAGCAGCAGCAGCTGGGACAGAGGGCACGACACGCTGCCACACAGTTCGCTACTGCTGGCTCCTTCGGGAAGGAATGGGTGGGCAGCTTGTGTGGGTTGAGCCCAGTGGGACAGAAGCCCAGACGACTCTGCCGTAGCTCCTCTTCCCCCCTTGGAGCCACCCCCTGCCTCCCTCCCTCCCTCGAGGGAGAGAGAGAGAGAGAGAGACAGAGAGAAAGAGAGACCTGGCTTGGGTCTCCCCTCAGCACCAACGGAGAAGGACATGAACGTCCCACAAGATAAGTGCCCCCTTGCGCACAACTCTCGCCTCACTCCTGCGTGGCCTGCTCTTGGCCAGCCCCCAGCAACAGCCCCCCCCTCACTCCTGTCCCGGTCCAGTGTGGTGTGTGGCTACTAGCCTCGCGAGGGCGGCTGTCGGCCAGTCCGAACACCCTGGACCGGGGGTGGGGGGTGTAGGGATGTTGCCCCGGGAAGGAGAGGGCTCCATCTGGGAAGTGGGACAAAACAGATGAAGTACCCCAAAAGGACTGGGGCCCCTTTTGTGGTGAGTGAGAGGACCAGCTCATGAAAGAACAGAACATGATGCAGGAACCACCACCACCACCCTAAGGAAGCTGAAGCAAAAATTTAAGGTTCTGCCATGCGCATCCCTAGGATGGCCAGCCAGCCTGGCTACTCACCCGAGTCCCTTGGAACTGCCTTGGTTCAAGCGGTGAAAAGTGGAGGCGACAGGACGGACAAGGGAGGACTCTGGGCTGGTTTGCATTGGTTGTTACGTCGTATGGTCAATAGGAAACAAAATGTCTCAATCCTGCAGCATCTCTTGCCGCTTTTGCCAAGACGTAAGAACAGTTTGGACACTTTTGCTGCAAGGGGTGCATTAAACGAGAGAGGTTGGGTTCCAGAAGGAATGTGAGGATTAGAGACCACCCTTCAAGGAGATAGAAATGAAGTTCTTCTGAACTGGGTAGACTATGTTTCAGGTTGGGTGCATACTGTTGCCTCTCTTCCCACTTTCAAGGGCTAGGGAGAGAAAAACCATCTGCCTGGAAAGGACCGCTTGCAAAGTTTAAAAGGGCTGAGCAAAACGAGGCCCATGGCTGCATTTTGAGGCCAGCACAAAACTCCTCACAGTGGAATTTGTACACGAAAGTTTTTTTAAAACTGGAGGTCTGAAGAAGCATACATTTCTGTTAGAGTGTATACTGACACCCCCAAAATCAAACTTGGACGTTAATGTCTGCTTACGTCCAGTTTTGATGTTCTGCATTTTTCATCAGTTTTAGCCATTTCTGGGCGTATTGTGGCCCTTGGCAATGCTGGGGAATGAAAATCTGGCCATAAGAACTGCCCAAGTCACACACCCCAGGCTTGAAATAACTGGTCAACAGTTTAGTGGGTGATAGTGGAAAGGCTGCTGCCGCTGCTGCTGATCTGTGTTGGCACCAGTACTTTCTGGACATGCATCATCTCCCAGAGCTGGGCCACGATCTAAGCACAGGAGAGCGTCTTATCATATACAGTGGACCCTCGACTTACAGACGGCTCGACTTACAGACTTTTCAAGTTACAGACTTCTCTGGCTGCAAAATTTAGATTCTACTTGCAGCCAGAGAATCGACTTACAGACCAGAAAAAAACCAAAATGGAATAAAAATAGAATAAAAACCAGTGGTTACGGGATTAATCGGTTTTCAGTGCATTCTGTAGGATATGTTCTGCAACTTACAGACTTTTCGACTTGCAGCCACCATTCCAATACGGATTAATTCCTTAAGTAGAGGGTCCACTGTAGTGGTCGGTTGATGCCCCCAACCACTGACCGCACCCTGGGCTACTGGTATTCTCTGGAAGGCTCCATATTCTCTGGAAGACACCCCTGGACAACTCCCTGAGGCGTGGGGGAAGGGGGAGGGGTGGAAGGAGCTGTTAAAGGGGCAGACTTGCATTTAACCAGCCACCTCTGCTTAGCAGTGCAAGCCAGAAGGGCATGTTCTGCACACAGACACCAAATTAGGTCTCCTTCTGGATGGCCTTCTTGTGGAAAGGGGCAATTTCCCTGCCTTGCTGCATGCAGCACACTTCTTTTCCAGAGGCGGCCGCTTTTCCTCCTGCTCAAGTCTGGTTGTCACTGGCATGCTGCCCATCTTAGAAATCCCTTTTCCTCTTTCTAGCTCTTTGATAAGCTGTATTTGCTTCTTGTGAGTCGGTGAGTTGTAGAGGGATTGGTAATAACACTATGATCATGATCTTGACTTTGGTCCTCAGGAATGGATCTTTACTCTTAAGGATTGTTTCTTATTCCTTTACAGCAGACCATTAAAGTCTTCTGAATTCTTGATCGCTAACTCTATTTGGAATGGTGATTGAAACAACCTATAGAAAATGTTCTATGTTTTCACTTTCTATTCTATAATTATGTACTTTTTCTGGACTCATTATTAGGGTTTGTGTGTTAATATTCTAATATAGCCCTACTTGTGCACATATTTTACTTTGCTTTCATCTGACTAATCTAATTTTCTGTAATAGGATGTACAGTGGTGCCCCACATGGCGACAATAATCCGTGCAGCAAAAATCGCTGCAAAGCGATTTCGTAGCTATGTGAAAATAAAAAGCCCATAGGAATGCATTAAAGCCCATTTAATGCATTCCTATGGGCTTAAAACTCATCTTTAAGCGAAAATCCTCCATATGGCGGCCATTTCCGCTGCCCGGTAAGCAAGGAATCGGCGTGAAAACACAGTGGGCGGCCATTTCTTTTACCCGGCGGCCATTTTGGAACCGCCGATCAGCTGTTGGAAAATCATCGCTATGCAATAATCAGTAAGCGAAACAGCAAACCGATCATCGCAAAGCGATTTTTTCCCATTTAAAACATCACAATGCGATTGCTTTTGTGATCGCAAAATCTTCATCGCTATGCGATTTCATCGTTAAACGGGGCGCCCGTTAAGCGAGGCACCACTGTATTCTGCATCAAAATTCAATTGGGTGGGTGGGGAGAGTGGTGTCTTTGTGTGACACCTCTGCCAATGGGAAAGCATTCTGTTTCTCCCTCTATTGCACCCTAACCATAGATGCTTGTCCAGAGTTTATGTTATGGATCAAAACCATCATTGTTTCATGCATTTAAAAAGAAAGATTCACACTTTTCCCTTATTTATACAGTTTATGTGTAAAAACACAAAGTGATGTTTGTCTTTTTGATGTATACTTCTGCTTTTGCACATGTTTTACTCCTCCCTCATTTGAATCTATTCTAATCTAATTTTCTGTAGGATATGTTCTGCCTAAAAATTGAATGGGCAGGGAGAGAGATTACACTTTATTCGTTACAATTCAGTAACCAACATGTATTTGCAATATGTTCTCTAGCATCTTTTCCTTTTCCAAATTCAACATGAACATCTGACAGTTCTTGCTCCGTATATGGTAAAAGGGAACTTGAATTTAATTTTGGAAATTAATCTCATGATTCTATCTTTGCAGCAGTCTTTGACTTCTCCTTTCTTTGGAGTTCGAATACAGTCGTGCCCCACTTGATGATTACCCCATTTAATGATGAATCCGCTTCACAATGATGTTTTTGCGATCACAAAAGCGATTGC